GCTCATTCTACTGTGCCAGACTTGAAATTAAATGGCATAGCTTCCTCTCACTCTGACAATCTTCTACCTTCTGTCCTCCCCGAGTTTCTCTTCCCCAGCATCTTCCCTACCAAAAAGGGGGAGGGGCAAGCACTGGGGGGACTTCAGGAAGACTTTTGACCAAAATTAGCATTTCAGAAACTCCCAAAGCAGGGCTGCAAGATCCATGTTGAAGGGTCTTGACTACATTTCTGCATCCAATGGAAAATAGAATCCAATCGAATAATCTAATGTAAATTCAATAAACAATTGTGGAGCACCTACTATGTGTCAGATACAGTGCAAAGCAATGAAAATACAATGGCAAAGACAGATCAGTCCCTGAACTCAAGGAACACCTTCTGTTGTTGGGAAGACTACATGAGCACGGAACAGCTTAGATGAAATTGTACAAGAATAAACAGGCATTTAGGAGGGGAGGGGAAGAATTCACTGCCAACCGAGGGCTCAAATATGCATGCAGTCAGGTGGGTTGGTGGCAGCTTTAAAATTAAATTTAAAAACCAGAATCCTAAAGGAACAACAGCATTGTCGAGACAAAGAAGAGGTCTGGTCAATGCAGTGACCAGGCAGGATGCCAGAGAACCCATCACAAAGCCTGCTTCCCCCCTCCTGGCAGGCGGAGGAGGGACTCAAGGTCCAGAGTGAGACACATTTGGGACATGGCCAGTGTGATAATTTGTTTTGACTCTGCATTTTTGTTATAAGAGTTTGGTTTTTCTTTTTTCCAATTTTGGAGAGAAGTGGGAGGAAGAGGAAATAAATCATTGTTAATTGAGGGGAAATGAAATAAAGTTTAAAAAATAATTAAAACCAAAGAGAACCGGGTGCCAGCTTTTGTGTGAGGCATTGGGCCGGCCTGCCCAGCAGCTACATCCAAACGGCTTCTCAGAAGCCTTTTAATTGGCTGAGATCTGTGACATCCCTTGAAGTAGAAACAGCTGCAGCCTCAAGCCGGATGACAGTGGTTGGGCTTTTTAAACAAATCAGCCTCATCCATTTGTTTTCCAGCTAGAAACCTTGATAGAGCCCACATGCCCGCCCCCTGCCTTATGTGAATGTGGCCGTATCAAAGGGTTGGGGGGGAGGGAGAGATGTGAAGTAAGTTCCAGAGGAAGGCTGGAGGTCCCAGTTCCCTTTTCTCCTGGCCCTTGTATTGAGAGGGACCATCTGTGCCTGGAAGGACAATCCTCCAGGCAACTGGGGGGAGGGGGTGACATCTCCAACAAGGATCCCTCTGCTCTGGATCAGCCCAGAAGCAGAGCAGGGGTCCCAGGGCGATTGGAGAAAGAGCGGGCTCAACCTGAGGATACCTTGTGTTAGAGGGAATCCAATCCAATCAGGGTCAGACAGCTTGACCTTGTGCACTGGTCCCCCAAATGGTCCAGCAGCTCTTTGCCCCTCATTGGACATGGGAGTTGGCAGTTGAGGTGTATTGGTGTGCCACTCTGCTGAAGTGATAGAGTGAGAAGAGGGCTAAAATTAGAGTCCAAAAACCTGGATTCAAATCCTGGTTCAACCATTTATTTCTTGTGTGACCCTGGATTTCTCTGGACCTGGGTGTCCTCACCTGTAAAATTTTCAACTATTTATTTCTTATGTGACCCTGGATTTCTCTGGACCTGGGTGTCCTCACCTGTAAAATGAGGGAGTTGGGCTCCATGGTGTCCAAGGTCCCAGACAGCTCTAAATCCATGATCCTATGACTTTTGAGGCAGCCTGAGTTTGACCCTTGTCCCAGACAATCATTATGTGGCCCCAGACAAGTTGCTTAATCTCTCTGTGCCTCAGTTTCCACATCTGTAAAGTGAGGGGGTTGGCTTAGGTGACCTCTGAGATCCCTCCCAGCTCCAGAACTGTGAGTCTGTTTCCCAAACTAGGGCTTTGCTCACACCCACTCCCCGCCCCCAGATGCTTGGATTGATGCTTGGCCCAGAAAGGCCGACTCATCTTAGCCCTCATGACCTCTTCATTTACTGGCTGGCTCGTCCCCTAACATCAGAGTGGAAAAAAGCCTGCTGATTCCAGTCAATCAAGGCTCATTATCACAGCCTCTGCTCATTAAAGTTTATTTTGTAAACAGTTCATTTCAGAAATGCCCTGACTCAAATTTTTCTCTGAAGAATTTGTGCTGCTGTTTTTTCTCTGCATTTTTTTCTCTGACATCTGATATCCTAAAAATGCCATTCCCAGAATTCTGCTGGCAAACAGACTTTGGGCTCTTGGTTTTGGGGACCCCCTGGGTGCCAAGTGTCTCAAAGTGGGGGAAAAGGATCCTTTAATTCTCCCTTCAGTGTTTGTCAAAGTTGGCATTGCCTGGATTCATGATGTTTGATTTTTAGGAACTGGAGACGGGGGAAGTCCCTCCTCTATTAAAAAAGACATCAGAAAAAGGGGGGTGCAGATGAACCTTTCAGCCCCTTTCCTAGAAAAGGACAAAAAAGACACCCCAATTTTAGGAAGTGCCTATAATGTACAAGGCTCCTTAATAGATACTGGAGGGAGAGGTATTCAGGAGACCAACCCTAACTTCTTGACCAAAGTTTGGGGTGATTAAGTTATTTTAATAATGGACAACATGGAATAGTGGATAGTGTTAGACTTCGAGAGAAGAAGCCCTGGATTGGCAAACTGCTTCTGATGCTTTTTTAGTTGTATGACCCCGGACAAGTCCCTTTACCTCTCCTGCGCCTCTATAAAATGCCTTAAGGAGCTGAGTCAAAGGTTTGTTGTGAGGTTCAGATGAGATGTATGTGAAGTACATTTACTATAGGAACTATTATAGGAACATCAAGCATTCTTGTTATTTTTGAGTGACTTTTGACCGTAGCTGTGGTCATTCATCCTTTCCCAGCAGGGCACAGAGCCATAAACTTAAAGCCGGGAAATGATGCCCGAAGGCATCTCCTCCAATCCTTCCATTTAACAAAGAAGGAAGCTGAGAGGTTGAGGGACTTGTCTGACGTCATACAGGGAGTGAGTGGCAATGGTCCTTCCTGCCTGATGAGGCTAGGAAGGCTTCTTGGAAGGAGGATAGGGTTTGAACTGGGGCTGAAAGGTCTGGAAGATTTTTAATAGGCAGAGAGAGAAGGAAGTGATTTCAAGATTTAGAAAAGACCAAAGGCGCAAAGGCACCAAAGCCTGAGATGTATTTGGGGGTAGAGCAGAAATAGGAGTGCGTTTAATCCCTGAGACAGGGATTTGGGGGCAAGAAAGGAGGGTGCTCCGAAAAACCCCATGTGTTCTTAGGTTCATGAAAGTGGAACCCAAGCATATGAGAATTGGAAGGGACCTCAAAGGCCTTCTAGCCCATTCAAGACCTGCAAACATTCTTACCAGAGGAAGAGGGTTATCAGGATTAGGGAGGACTACACAGAATTGTATACTGATTACTGTGAGTCTTTTGGGTTTGTCTTTTTTTTGGGGGGGGGGAGCAAGGAAGAGGGGGAAAGATAATGTGTAAAATAAAGGATGTCCCTCTAATATTCGTTATTACCCTGAGTGCTTACTGGGACCCTCATCATAGACGAGAAATGAGATACACAAGCTAAGATTTCCCAGAGGAAATTATGAGTGGGGGTAAAAACAAGCCAGAGCTACGATTTGCCTTTCCTCTGAGAATATCTTCCTTCTGCTCTGTATGTCATGCATGTACAGAATTGTCTGCATGTTCTAACCCCTCCAAAGTTCCTGATGCACAGGGATCATGATTTTGCTTCCTTTTGTACATCCAAGGCTTAACACACAGTAAGCCCTTAATAAATGCTTGTTGACTGACGTCCTCAACATGCTGTATGGGTCCTGAGCTTGGGATGCTGAGTTAATAGACTGCACTTGGAATTAGGAAAGGCACCAAGATACTTCATTTTTGGAAAGCAGACGCTGGCCTCTGAGCTGTTTAATCATTCCGGGGAGGGGGCGGGTAGGAGGCCTGAAAAGCCACTTCCAAAGTTTTGTAACCTTCCCCGTGGTACTAGGAGTCTTAAAAATGGATTGTCCTTGAGGATTACCTGCCGTCCCCACCCCCACCCCGCCTCCATCCCTGCCCCCCAATGTTTTCATTTAGTGCTTTTAGAAGACAGCCGTAAGCCTCCGGGTGCTAGAGGATTTGGGGAAACCCAAACCTTCAAGATTAAACGACCCTCAGGGTTTAAAAGGTTTTAATCTGTTGGAGTTCAGGTCCTGAGCCTGGGGATAATTGGATGCAGCCTCGGTCCCTGGGAAGCGGAACCAGTTGTGTGTGCGCCTGTGTTAAAAGAGGGGGATGGGGGGAAAGGGGTGTGTGTGAACAAACAGGAGTCAGTCGTGTTTGGCTGGGGGGCGGGGGTTGGTGGGAGCCAAAATCCTGCGGCCAGTCTGCCGTGAGCTGTGCGGTGACCCTGGGGGGCTGCGTGTCCCCCGGCAGGATCTTCTGGCTGCCTCCCACCTCCCCTCGGGCTAGCTCAGCACGTTCAGGCGCCCTATTGTTTTAGGCACCAGGCTGCCTTAAGAAGCAGCCCCGGGGGAGTTGCAGGATTCAGCTGCTGGAGCAGAGGGGCCCCCAGCCCGGCCCACCCCGGCTCAGAGGGAGGGCAGCCCAGCCCTGCCCAGCCCAGCCCATCACATCCCTGGCAGGGCGCAGCGCAGCTGGGGCCAGTCACATGCCCCGGGTCTCTCCTCCCGAAGGGGCCGCCCTCCAGCAGCTGCTGGCCCTTCGCTGGGTGTCGGACATGCGGCGCAGCTGGCCCGACGTGCCGGCCCTCCGGAGCTCCCGGGATGGCAGCCGACGGCTGGGCGATGGCCGCTCCGGGCTCAGCCAGGAGCTGCGGCCCGAGGCCGAGGCCGCGTGCCCGGTGGCCCGGCGCAGAAGCACGCCGGGCCGGAAGCGGTGGCAGGAGCTGCTGGCCTTGGCCTTGGCGGGCCAGGTGGGGGCCAGGGGCGTCTGGCTTGGGCCCCCGCTCAATCTCTTTGCCTATTCGCAGATTTCTTCTCTGGTCCGAAGAGCTGCCTTAACCCAGAATGACAACCACTGCAACTATGAAAAGACCCACAACTTCAAGGTAAGCAAGCTGACTTTGGGTGGGTTTTCTGGGGGCGAGAATTTGATAGCGGGGGAGTGGGGGAGAGTAGAGTGGGATGGGCAGGGAGGGAGCGGCGGATGGACTTTACAACTTGGTGCTTGCGAAGCTTCTTTCTGAAATGAGAGCCTTTTCACAGACCCCAGTCTGGTTCCAGTGGGTTCTACTCTTGCCTGTGGCACCTTGTGACCTTGGGCCAATCACCTCCCTCCGAGGTCTCCACCAGTGTGTGTGTGTGTGTGTGTGTGTGTGTGTGTGTGTTTGCGTGTTTGTGTTCGTGTTCCTTCTGATACCTCTGTTTTCTGTCATATAGGAAAGCTTCAGAATGCCATCTAAATGGTGTGTTTGAATCTTATGGAACTAGCATTTATATAGCTCTTTACTATGCCTTTGTTCTTCACATCTACCCTGTAAGATAGTTCCTATCATATTACCATTTTACAGATGAGGAAACTGAGAATGTGAGAGTTGATCAAGTGACTTGCCCGGGGTCACATAGCTAGTTAGTGTCTAAAGGCAGATTTGCATCTGGGTCATCCTGAGTCCAAGCCCAGTTCCCTACTGGCAGCTGGAGAGAGTTTATATTTTCCGGCTCGCTTAAACCTGGATCTCAGTTTTCTCATTTGTGGAATAAAGGGTTTGGCGACCTCCTCTACCAGCTCTTGACCTCTGTAGAAGATGAAACTCATGTGCTGAATGTTCTAGTGGATGAAGTCAGCCGTGGAGGTGGAGGGTACAAAGACCTGACTATGTGATCCTAGGCAAAGCACTAACTTGTCAGTGCTCTAGGAAACTCCCTGAGACTGTTTACAAGAGAGTCATCAATCTGCATTGGTGGAGGGAATCTCTACACTGGAAGTTCCCCATACCAAGCAGATCATAGGTCTGGATTTTTTAAAAAGGCCATTCATCTTTTTTATGCCAGTCTCTATTTTAAGGAAGGATCTGTCACATTTTAAGATCCTTATAGCAAACCTAGAGGGCTGTCCTTCCCCCAGAGGAGAGGAGATGGGGAATAGGGCTGGGACCTGGGAGATGGTCAGTTTAATTCCTAGTAAGGAACTTTTAGCCTGCATGTCAACAGCTTCTATTCAAGAGACACTCTGGGATACTGAGAAGTGATGTGACTTAAGGCTCACACAGACATTACAGGTCGGAGGCAGGATGGACAGACTGTCTCTGACCACTGCACCACACTGCCTCGTGTCCCCCAAAGAGGGAAAACTAGAAATGACTATTGCACGTGAAATGGAAATACTCACCTAATGTTCTGGGTTTGGCCACTAGTTGCCTCTGGTTGTGATGGGCATCATTTCTGTGACCTAGGCAACTGTCAGAACACGTGAATGGCCAGAAGTGCAGACTGTGTCTTGGTGCCCTGGAAGACCCTTAAAATCCTGTTCAGCTCAAAGAGAAACCCTGGGCAGCTAGCTGGTCAGATGGAGGGAACAGAGTGAAAATTTGGTGGGAGAAAACCCAGATTTTTCTCAATGTTTATTTAAAACCAGAGACTAGGGAAATCATTGTATGTATCATCACAATTCCAGACATGACATTTAGAGAAGCTATTTACCCTCTGAAAATCACAATCGGGTCCTTTTGCCCTCTCAGCTAATGGCAGTGGTTGCTAGTGAAGAATGTTTGGCTCTGCAGGTGAAGGACATGGGTTCAAATCCCAGCTCTCCTCCCCCTTACTGGTTGTGGGACTTTGTCTAATCTTGTTTGATCCTCACAACCACTTTAGGAAGAAGGTTCTATTATCCCCATTTTAAAGATGAGGAAACAGTTGCCCACAGAGATTAAGTGACATGCTGGAAATGACACAGTGCCAAAGACAGGTTTCAAGCCTAGCTCCTTCTTGGCCTCAGGTTCTCTGCTTTCCCAGGTCAGTTTCTCTTGGTCTCTGTTCCCTCAGAGATGAAGCCAATGAATTGGGCTTAATCTCTAAGTGTCCTTCCAATCTTAAATCTGAGGTTCTAGGATCCCTTGGGGGATGCTAAATGACACTATAGTGCGTAGGGCACCAGTCCTGGAGTCAGGAAGACATCTCCCTGAGTTCAAATCTGGCCTCAGACTTCTTAGCTGAGTGACCATGGGCAAGTCACTTAACCCTATTTGCCTCAGTTTCCTCATCTGTAAAATGAGCTGGAGAAGGGAATGGCAGACCGTTCTCGTATATCCACCTAGAAAACCCCAAATGGGATCACAGAGTCAGACGCTAATGAAATGGCGGAGCAACAGGGAGAATCTCTTCTAGAAAGGTTGGACTCACTCTAAAGAATGCTCATGCCAAGTTTCCGCATTTAACGTGTTGTGATTGGGAGGATGGATAAAAGGGAATTGTGAGAGCAGAGCAGAGAGCTAGGATTTAGAAGTTGGAAGAAATGGAGATAAGAAAAGGAAAGGAAGGGAGAACAGAGAATGGTTTGCCCTGTTTCTGAATCTTTCCTCATGCCTTGGGGTTGATAATACAAGTCACTGTCTGAATGACAAAACCCCTTGTCAGAAATGACAAGGGAAATTGTTTCATTCCATTGACCACAGATCATCCATGGGAGCCACGTGGGCCGGTGAAAGCCATGTGTGGGTTCTGTTGGTCCAGACCCGATGAATGGAGAGCGTGGACACCGCTGGCTACTGAGATACTGCTGTATCTCTAAAGGATAATTGAACAGTAGCATTAAGAATGGGGCAGCTACCTGGCACAGTAGATGGAGTGCTGGCCTGGAGTCAGAAAGACCTAAGTTCAAATCCAGCCTCAGACACTTCTTCGCTGGGTGACCCTGGATAAGTCACTTCGCCCTGTTTGCCTTAATTTCCTCATTTGTAAAATGAACTGGAAAAGGGAATGGCCAACCACTGCAGTATCTTTGCCAAGAAAACCCCAAAGAGGGTCACAGAGAGTTGGACTGAACAGTAGCGCTAAGAATCGTTTTCCATAGAACTTAGTTCTTCTGGGATCCTTATTTCTTCTCTTCCTTATAAGAGTCGGGTTGAATTCTTGGGTTAAAGAGCCTACTTGTATGATCATGGGCGAATAGCTTCATTTCTGCAGGATCTCAGTTCATTCTGTAGAATGAAAGGGTTGACTCCTTTCAGCTCTAAACCTAAGCTCTCTCCCCGTCCCCGTCTTCCCTCCATGTCTAGTTTTGTTCCTATTTAAACTCAGCCTTTTAAAGGAAAAGAAATGTTTTCTTGTGCACTTGACAAAACATACCATTTTAATGGGGGTCTCATGACTGGGAGCCTGGATCCTCTTTGACTCATGCATTCTTTTTTCTTTCCTCCTCAAAATTCCTCTGGCTCTCAAATGTACTTGGAAACATGCCCTCCCATTCTCCATGCCTACACAGAATAGCTACTGTGCTCTGGATCTTACTTTGCTTTTGTTTAACAAATCCACTCACTGCTGTGGGTGGATCCTTTTTGAAAACTAATCTTTTTAAAAATTTGAGGCTCTGGGAACCTTGATGAATTTTAAGGCTTTTAATTTTTTTTTAAGTGAGCTAGAGGGTTCCTGTACTACCCCCACCCCATAGAGGAATTGAAATATTTATTATGAGGAAATAAAGATAATTTTGAAAAATGGTCCTTTTAACTCTTGATTTGCTATCACTTCCATATGATAGCATCTTTTGAGAAGATTATTAGGAGTAAATTAAGACAGTTTGATTAAAAAAAAGTGACTAAAAGAGACAAACTGGAGTGTTTTCTTCTAGCCATCCCACAGTAGGTACAGGGGAGAGCTGATCCTGGCTCTATGGTGGTGTCTCAGGCCATTGTCCAAGAGAAGGCATATTTGTCATAGTCTATTCTGAGTAATTCCCATCTCCCCAGCCCCAGCCCCAATCAGCCCTCTGCTGCAAACCACAGACTAGCTTTAACTTGGAAACACTGCATATTTTTGGATAAACATTCCAAAAGGCACATCATACTATAAATAGAAGAGAGAATTTTCTTTAAGAAACCCCTGACCTGGAACAAAGATCAGAACACTCCTCAAAGGGGTCTCTGTCATCCCAAATCTTAAGTGGGTATTTTTAAAAAATGTATATATTTTAACCCTTGAAGGCTATATTCAGAGAGGCAGCCTTGATGGAGTGCTGGAGCTGGAGTCAAGATGACTCAAATTCAAACCTGGCCTCAGACACTTACTAGCTGTGTGTGACCCTGGGCAAGTCACTTCACCCTGTTTGCCTCAGTTTCCACATCTGTCAAATGAGCTGGAGAAGGAAATGGCAAACCACTCCAGTATCTTTGCCAAGAAAACCCCAAATGAGGTTACAGAGTTGGACACAAGTGAAAGACTGAACAGCAGCAACAACAAATTGTCTGACAGTTCTTCCTGACATCAAACCCAAAGAGGTCTCTGCAATTTCCCCCATTGCTTCTAGTTCTGTTTCTGGGACCCAGAAGAATAAGTCTAGTCCCCTCTTCCCCAGGACAGTCCTTTGGATGCTTGAGCACAGCTATCGGGCCCTTCCCGAGTCTTCTTTTCCAGGCTAAGCATGCCCTGTTCCTCACAAAGCATGGACTAGAGACCCTTCACAGAGAAGGTGGCCCTTCTCTGAACGCCCCTCAGCAAACCATCATTTAAAGAATTAAACACCCCATTCCAGATAAAGGCAGAATAAAGTGAGACTGTCAGCTCCTCGTTCCAACAAGCTGTAGAACTTCTTGATACAGCCCAAAGTGACCTTAGCTTTTGTTGTTTTGCTACCACTGCTGACTCATTGAGCTCGTGGTCCACTAAAACCTCCAGATCTTTTTCAGAATAACTGCTAACTAATCATGTTTCTCCCTCCATCTAGTATTTGTGAAGGTGATTTTTTGTACCCGCGGGCAAGACATATATTTATCCCTACTGCATTTCAACTTATGAGATTCAGCTCAGTGGTCCTAATTCTCATCTGTAAATGTAGTGAGCATTGATAAAAATGTTAAGGGACGCAGGGCCAGGAGCTGATGTCTGGGGCACTCCA